TGTTTTTGTATTGGCATATCCTTTATGTTTTATTGTTATGATATGAGTCGCCCAGTGTAATTATATATAAGGTGAACATCCATATTTCCCCTAAATAAATAAATAATGGCAATAGTTACTTAAATTTTACTGCTGATTCAAAGTAAATTAAAAAGTAATTAGTAGCAATTTATGTTAAAAATCAAAAGTTTTGCATTTTTCTATCAACTTGATGAAACTATTATCTATCTATCTATCTATCTATCTATCTATCTATCTATTTATCTATCTATCTATCTATCATCTAGTTATCTATCAAATTTACTTTATTATGAGTTATCCAAGGGACATATTTATTGCCTTTCATTAATTATCTCCAGTAGTCCATAGGTTCCATCTCTTTCAATGCATTAATTAATCTCAAGAGAAGTTATCATGTCCTTCTGGAGAAATTCAGAGAAAATCTCCATCTCATATTTATGTATTTATTTATTGAATTTATATCCAACCTTTATTATTCTTACAAATAACTTATGGCGATGCACATATCAAACATACCTTCTTCCTCCTATTTTCCCCACAATAGCAGGCCTGAGAGGTGAGTTGGGCTGAGAAAGAGTAACTAGCCCAAAGTCACCCAGCCACCTTTCATGGCTAAGGTGGGACCTGAACTCCCAAGTCCCATTTATACCCACATTTAATGGAGACTTTCAAAAGGCCATTTATTCCTAGTTCTCTTAAAGACATCTTCAAAAAAGAGTAAAAATACAAATATATAATTGTAAATACAAATATATAACAGTGTAAAGAAACAAACCAAAACAACAGATAATATAAAATGGAAGCAATACCTAAGGCTAGCAATAAAAGCAGAGAATAAAAAGCATACTATTAATCTAAAGCTTTTTTTGGGGGGGGAAACTATCATGACCTTTAGAAGGGCAGCAGAAATGCCCTGTATGAACCTCTTACCAAATGTTCTAATTTCAGCTTATCCAGCACCTCCATAAAATGGAACATTAGAGCCTTTGGTGTCTTTAAAAGAAAGGACTCGTTCCAAATCTCTCCTGGGGGTTAAGCGATTTTACACTTTTTCAAAAAGTCTGGGCAAGTTACCTCTGACCAATTTATAACTGTCAAATCATTCCAATTCAAAATGGAATTAGAATTGGAATTATTCTATCTTTGTTATTGATTTTAATCACCTAATCATGTTGATGCAATTCAACTATAAATTCTTTTATGCTCAAAGGCAATTAAATTGTCCAATCAATTTGATTCACTTTGTTCCACTGATCTGATCAAAAGAGCAATGTGATTGAATTGCCTTTGATTTGAATCTCCAAAACAAATCCTCACACAGTCCGTGTTCAGAGGCATTTTACTTCTTTGAATAACTAACATGCAAGGGTAAATTCAGTTAATGGCCACCACAAAGAGACTGTAAAATGTGGTTGGTCATGTAGCCAAGTACATTTTACATGGCTTAAGATTGTGATGGGCAGGCTACATCAAAGTCATAAATCAAGGACCACCTGTATGAGTATGATGGGTCTTCTCTACTGTTGACTGTTCATTATTCATAGATAGAGAATGACTTGTTAAGTCTATAGCAAAAGTGGGCAAAGCTTTCTGTAATTCCAAAGAATATTTCAATGTGTTAAAACTCATAACATGCTGAAACAATGCACTACAATCCCCAAGAAGAAAACTAAGAAGGTATGTGGAGAATAACTTTGGAAGATCATATCTTTTGCGGCCCTCTTAGATGAAAGAACATAGAGCATACATACAAGTTCAATCCTAATCATATATCTGGTTTTATTTCAGTCATAGACCAACATAAAACAAATATCATTCCGAAATAAAAACAGAAGGAACCAAATATGGTATTAATAAAATAGAGTAAAAATTATCATGGAATTATGACATCTAAAATATAAAACCATGAAAAAACAACTATAAAATTAAAATAGTTTTATAATTTCTTTGCTATAAATAGTTAAGCCGGCAAGGTATAAATACATAAGAAACACTAAGAATTATAAGACATTATAACAATTTAAAAAAAATATCATGACTTGGGACTTTAATACTTACCTGCTGTAGCCCTATTAGAATTTGATTGGGATTATTGCAACTATCAATCAATCCTTAGACATGATATAATGGCAATATAAAGCATAATGAATTTCCAATTTTCTCCTTTATTTAAGGAGAAATAAAGGAGGATTATGAGATATATTAAGTTATGGTAGATAGGACTCTGCAGGGTGTTACTTGGAGAAGCTGTTTGCATTCAGTCACAAAACCAGTGAGCTACAATATCTAAAACCCCTGCCTGTGAGAAGGGGAAGGGAAGGCAGACTTTCAAAGGAAGTAGAAAAACAGTTAACTTGAATTTCAATCAATGTACAGAATAACCAGTCCAGCAATTTCTAAGATTGTATAGCTCCCCATTCAGAGGTCCTGTCTTGAGGGAAGTTAAGATCAGATACACCCTCCTACCTTCCTAATTTCAAAACGCCCTGAAAAAAAAACAATCCTGGGGGATATTTAAACGTCTACATAATTTGCCTTCTACTGCGAGTAGCTAAAGGCAAGATCATGTATAAAAATGAGAAAATGGACAGGCAGAAACATTATAATTTTCCACTGAACAAGCTAAGGTGTTCTGCTAAGGCAAAAATGGAGTTTAGAGTGGCAGAATTCCCTTTGACTAGTGCCCCATCACTAGCCATCTAGTTTCAGTCCATCATTTCCTAAGTTATGTAGTTCGGAAAGGATTGAATAAATGGTTTATATATTTAGCGAGGTAGTTGGACCTTATGAGGACATGCAAAAATACTGCTGTGTGAATATCAGACATTTCAAACTTTGATATAGGATGTTATTTTTCAAAGTGCACATGCTTTTTTTGCCCTGATCAACAATATGATATAGAGAAAATTATAATAAATGGGGAAACTTTTTGGACAATGGTATTGTCTTGCCTTCAGTGAATACAAAATGAAAAATTGGAAGCAGATTAAACAGATTGTGAGGGATAGTTTAACACAGCACATCCAACACACTGATGGATATTTCATTTATTTTCCTTTACCAAAACGTTTATTGCAAGAAAAAAGAGAAGGGAAGAAGTAAAAGCTTTACTTCACTTAAAATGACTATAGAAATGGTAGTAAATAACCTTCTATTCCAGGTGCTTAAAAATGCCTCCGTGTATACAGTGCAGACTTTTCCTTCCATAAAAATCATACTGTGGGGCCATTATGCTTTCAACACCATGTAGGTGGCTTTGCATTGAATGCACTGGAGGCTGAGGATAAGAAGCAAAGCACTGAAAACTATTTATGGTCAGAATACTCTTGAACTTCCTACATATGTGTTTTCATTTGCATGTGTTTCAACACCACAGAAAAATCTAGGCTTTGTATCTCATCGGGTATTTTTCTTTAGTTTTGAGGGATACATTTTTGAGAAACCGACAAACCAGAATCATGGAAACGTGTACCTGTAATCATGTGTACCTGTAATCATGACAGTATAACTAATTATTGCTGCAGGAAATGGTTTTTGCATTTGCTACTAAAATGGTAGAAAGGTTTTCTACTATATGCAAAACAAGTAGGGAGAAGAAGGATAAGCAATATCCAAAATAATCAGCAAGGAGAAAAGGAGACTGAAAGGAGACATGATAGTGATGTTCAACTACATAAAATAAAGCTACAGGAAAGATGATCAAGAACATTTTTCATGACCAGAAATAATGGCTCTCACTTATACCTTTCTACATTTCATTTAAATATAAGGAAAAAAAATCTTGATGGTAAAACCCAAGCAACAGTGGAACAGTTTCAATGGAAGAGAATATCTGTAGTAAGAGTGAACTGTGGAGTTCTTCGTGCTGTCTGAATTTGGTTGTTTGCTTGCAGATATTTTATTACCCAACGAGGTAATGCCATTAGTGTGAGTAAGTGAGGGTTTAGGTGCCTGTTAGTGCCCATTTATATATATTAACTTGTCCTGCCAATTTTGGTGAGTGAGATGTTTCTTCCTTGATCAGTGTATTGCTTTCTGCCTGATTGTTTCCCTGGTATTGATCCCTGTTTATCTAAAAGTAAGCTGCTAGAGGGAATTATTCTATTTTTTGTTTGTTTCCTTCCTAGGTTTTTTATCGTCTCTTTTGAATGATGTGTAAATGTGATTTACTATATCTCTGTGAGTCTGTTGATGGCTGATTTGTCTGAATGCCCAGCTTTCAGGAATTATCTATTATTTTGATTTGGCTTGGTCTAAGATGTTAACAGTTTCCCGGTAGAAATTGTGGTTGAATCTGTCTATGTGTTGTGGGATTAAGACATTTTTATTATGTTTTTTGACTGCTGTTTGGTGTTCATGAATGCACTCTGCTGGTCTTCTGCCTGTTTTTGCTACATATTGGCTGTTACAGCCCTGGCATTATAAACTGTAGATGGCCTCCTGGCTCTTTTTCGTTTGCTGGAGAACTTGAACCTTTCAGATGTGTACTTGATGACACATGGAACAGGACTTTGATTACATAATCACAATCAGCATCTTGATTTTTCTGATTCCCCATGCCTTCTGCAGATGCCCCCAATTCCACAGGATGTGGGCCTGGCCTAGCAAACAGAAACTGAATACACATATTCAAAACATGCTCCGGAATCTCATTTTTTTTATATTTAATGTACTGCCAGTAACAACAGTACTTCTTATATTTATTTCCTTCAGCTGCCAGCTTTTCTAAATTTCCTTCAAAAAAGCATATTTAAACCCAGATTGCTGGAACTTTCAAATGCATTCTTGTGTTTTTTCCTAATTCACTGTTTGGCCTATCTCAGCTTTAAGAAAACCTTTTTGGAAGAAAGAAATAACTTTTCTTACCTAAGAAACTTTTGCTTCACGGGGTGAGCAAATCTGTCAAGAACAATTTCAGGAAAACAAAAAGTCAAAACACCCCCCTCCCCCCCCAAAAAAAAGGTGCCTTAAGTTCTTACCACTGTGTGGATCTGTGGTTTCCGTCTTTTGGCTAGGTCAATGATATTGACGCCGTTGTAATATAGGTTCTCAATGCAGCCATGGAAATTTTTCTTCAGGAATGTTCCTGGTTTTCCTGGGACTGGTATTCCTCCAAAACTGAGCTTTGAGACAAGAACAAATTCAAATTTTAATGCTCCAATAGCTGTATGTTTTTGACAAAAGATCATTTTCTAGGTGTTAATGAAAGAATGTCTAGCAGGAGGACAATCCATAAAGATCAAATTAATAATTATATTTTACTCTCTCTCTCTGCTTTTCTTTTGCCATAGGTTAGCCATTGGATTGACTAAGGTAGTTCCAGGGTCAAAAGCTGAAATTGTCTGAAATCGACATTAATTCCAATTTCATATGGAAAAGAACCATCAAAACTTTCTTCCAAATAGCACTGTGGTGCAATAATAGGTTTTTGTACAGCAATATAATTTTAGGTTCCAAATTACTGGCAGGGTGAATTAGATTTAAAGATCCATTCTCATTCTGGAACTCATTATTACCTGCTACTTTTGCTCTTTCTTATTTTGTCCTCCAGACTGGACTTACAGAAAATAAAATTAAAAGTGTACAGTCAATATCAATTATTCTGCTGCACTATTGGAGAAAAAAACATTTCCTGTGGTGATCAATTATACTTTTAATTACCTAACCAATCCTTTTATTTTCCTTAGTTACAGCTTTAATCCCTTAAGTATACTATGATAAATTTTCAATAGGCAATAATATTAGTGGGGTACAGTGGACCCACTTAAGCCTCTGGATTAAAGTAGGTAATCATTAAACATAAATTGACCAATCGTAATTGTGAGATTTATATATTTTACATTAGGTTCCATAATTAAATTGTTACAATTGATAAGTGTTGTTTTATTGTAGCCTTTCTTAATCTAGCCTTCTAAAGAAGTGATCATAAGACATATTTAACTGGGTCATGGGGATGGGCCAGGCAATGTGTTACACAGGTTCAAAAACCCTGCTAATTAACCAAGTTAATTAACCTCAATAAGGCAAAAATTTTAGTCTTGGGCAGGCCTTTATTATTTGAAATTCAGAAATATCCTGGTCTACCAACTAATTCCATGTTGTTCGGTCCCCTTGCTAGAGAGTTAATTGTCCCTTCTTCCACCATAATCAAGATGGTCATCTGAAGAAGCCTCTGAAAGCCCTCCCATCTCTGGATGCTTCCACTTTCAACTTCCACAGCCATAGAAGTGTGGAAAGGGAACAAGTAAGTTCCTCACCCTTTCTCGCCCCCCCCAAACACCAGGAAGTAGGAATTGCCACTTTTTCATCCTTCTTTACTGCAGTTGGGAAGCCTGGAAATCAAAGGCTAATGCATAACTGATCAAGTCATCTGACTGTGCACTGCCAGCACATAGAGACAAGCCAATAGCCTGGAGGAGAGGATTGCTGGTTCAGCTGCAATGTGTCATATTCTATCATACCCCAGCCAACATATTATTGTAATTGCTAGCTCTAGTCCAGTACAACTATTACAGCTGCACGAGAATATTAGTTCTATGTAATATCAGTGAGATGGGTAATCGATCAACCTATTTCTACTCGGCACCACTTCATTATTTATTTACTTAGAACATTTATATAGCTGACCAACTGACTCCAGGCAGCAAACTCCAAAAAGTAAAACCTCAAATACAAAATCTAACAAACCTTTATCCCACCCAGTGACAACATTCAGACAAACCTGCTCCAAATCATCCTAGGGTCCCCAAGTCCACTGGCAAAACCATATCTTCAGGACCTTTTGCAAGAGTATCAAGGAGAGAGCCAACTTATCTATGCAGGGATGCTGTTACCACAGAGAAAGCTTTTCTTTTTGGCCCCTCCTTAATAGAAGGGACCCTTAAAATACTTTGCCTCCCTGCTCTGGAGGTCAGGTAGATACAACATGGAAAAGACAGTCCTTCAAATAACCTGGCCCCCTATATGGGTGGTCACCCTCTTCTGGTCTATGTTTTGATTATTCAATCCACATTTATTCAGCAGCTATTCGTTCTTGACTCTATCTTTGCTTATTTTACCGATTCCCATGCATTCAGTTTGAGTTTCCTTGACATGCTCAGCCTCCTTTCCATGTAACTAAGTGAGCAGAAACATACCTTAATATTCAATCATTTTCATTCCTCCTAAAAGATCCTATGCTACCCACTATCTTTCTCCCATTCTTTGCATAGTTTAAAAATTCTTCAACCATCTTTCCATCTTTGGTAAAAAAATATTTTACACAGATAAACAAACAACCATTCATGCTAGGCTGTTGTTGTTGTTTTTTGCCTTTTATGTAAAGTTTGCACTGTTTACTTCATTTTCCCATCAAACACAACTACCAGGGTCTTTATTATATTCATATTCAGATCAACACTCTTAGTTACATTGTACAATCTATCTAACCTTCATGGCAAATCTTATAATCTTTCCCTCTTTACTTCTTTTGTACACCTTTGTCATATTTCAGAATCAACTTCCATTTCTATATTCACAAAACCAACCATACTTCAAGACTTTTCAATTTTATTATTTTCCCCAAGTCATACAGCAAATTTCCTTTCTCATACTGATACATTTCTGAGTGTTTCACTGAACAGAAAAAACTCTGTGGTCCACCCTCCCGTCTGGCATGAAATTGCATTCTCCCGAATTTTGTTCACTGACACCTCTTTTAATCTTTCAATCAGAATTCTGCCAAACATCTGCCTAAGTACACTCAACAATCTAAAAGTATCTCCTGCGGTTTTTGCATTCATTCACGCTATCTTTCCTTTGTACAACAGAACAATAATACCATTCTTCTTATTGCTAGACAGAGATGCTGCTGTGAGGCGTGAACAACCAGACCCACACATGTAGACTTTCAGACTAGCTACTTTATTGTTCTATGCCTATTCCATAGGAATCTCCCCAGACTGGCAGCTTTCACCAGTGAAAAAAACCTAGATAAGGCTCAAAAGCATGCAGGGTGGGTCAGACATAGTCCTCTAGTGTTTACATAACGAGTCCAGACTAATTGCCTACTTGAGCCCTCCTTCCAATTGGAAAAGTTGCTCCCTAATATACATATACATACAGTATTAAATAAGTCACACAGCCATTCTACAAGCAAACTGCATCCATATTTTAACATTTCTGAAGCAGATATCATCTTCCCCTGAAGCCTCACAATTTTTCAACATTCTCGTAGCATTTATGCCTTCCCTTTCATCATTTTCTCTTGCAGACTAACATTTGTAGCATTCATTTCAGTTCCATTCTCTGACATATTACTATTATCCTCATAAAAATCTCTAAACTGCTCCTTGCAGTACTCTCTCGACTCAGTTTCATCCCAAATCACTTTGGGACTAGATCATAATATTAATGTCCTAACACAAATGCATTATATGACTGATAGCTCATTCAGTTTAATACATTGTCAGTAACTCAGCAGACATAACCAAGTATTCTTCTCCCATTGATTTCACATGCTACTCTGAAAATTTAAAGGTATGAGAGAAAGGCTGTAGAAATCCCTGAAGGGGTGATTCATTTTGATGAAGAATCACCTTCATTCTGTTTAAGGCAGCAACACATTTCTTTTGTTCTGAAGGGTATTGCTCTGCTTTGCATCTCCTCTTAACACCCCCCCCCCAATTCACCTTGCAGGAGAAGACTTTGAGATGCACTGTTGGCCACAATGTTTTCAGTTAGGTTCTATGGGGATTGTGGGGCTACTTGCAGTATGTGTCAAAGTCAGAGTATGGAGCCCTTTTAAAGCACATCAAAATTCTTCCATGCTGGGCAGCTTCACTGCATACTGCTCCAAAACCACCAGACTTGACTATTGCAACATGTACTGAAGTTGCACAGCCTTGAAGTCATCAACAGCCAGTGCTTGATGTCCCCAAACAGTTCAAAGCAAATCAACTTTGTTTTGTGGAGGCAAATTACATTTACCTCTTCGCTTCAGTGAAGAGAAACCTATTATTTCTGTGGCATAAATATCTTCCTCCAAACTAATTAAAATACCCATGTGAGACTTCTTAAGCATCAATAGACAAGGATGGCCTTCTAAGCCTAAGGATAAGATCTAATGCACATTTAAATTGGGGTCTAAGTTCCAGGACATTCAAATAGGTATACGTGGAATGTCAGTGCCAGAGAAATTTTTCATCTTATTTTTAAATACTTGAGTTACTCTTTTTTCTACACTCCCCACACTTGGACAACTAGAGTTTTAAGAAGTTATTTTAGATGTCCAACTGTCTGCAACAGAAATAACTTCCCTTGGAAATTTCCATCCATGGCATTCAAAGCTAAAAGCAAGCATGCTATTCCCTTTGTATATACCTTCCCATAGTCACATAGGAGGCAAGGAACATAGAAGGACTAAAGGTGTTTTTTCAGAAGGCAACTGGACTTTGTTTTTCCTTGAAGATGTTTTGTTTTTCATCCAAGAACCGTCTTCAGTTCTGGAGAAGTCCAGTTGCCTTCTGAAAAAGCACCTTTGGGACAACCATGACCTGGATGACTGAGAATCTTCATAGAAACATAGGAGGACAAATGATATAATTATAGTAAGTGGTCAGCTTGGAGAAAATGTGGAATAGGCAAAGATGAAGTTAAGGAAAACAAGTCCCCCTTTTGGGACCGTGCTACAATGCATGAAATGACGAGGTTAGAGAAACAAATACATAAATGATATAAAAAATATCAGAAAGAACCTCACCTCTACCATCTACACGAGCGTTTCTCAACCTCAGTAACTTTAAATGTGTGGACTTCAATTTGCAGAATTCCCCATATATATTTACTCACATTCTTGTGAGTTGTATTTTCATATATTTAACAAAAACATTTTATATGGCTTTTTTCTAGTTGCACTATGCTTTTCACAATATAACAGTTACAACATAGCTATTTATAACATGCTACTTGCTGTTTATTTAACAGAGTGATTAGAATAATAACTGTAATTTTTAGGGAATCTGAGACCTCTCATTTGAAGCTATACTATACTTTCCAAAAACCTCAACCAACTTGATGCAGCAAGTTGTAGCACTAAAACCTTTGCATGTTTATTAATTTTCAACCTTGCTTTAGACAGAATAGGATAATCTATGTCTTCAGGGTTCCATGTATCTCTTCCAGTGGCCCAATAACTATTTTATGCAATTGAGTTTTGGTGATTTAGTGTTGAAAACTGAAGGGTTCTTGCTATTTTTAGTGAGAAACATACAAAATATGAGTAAAAAGGGATTTTATGGCATAGAAACTGAATAAAGTTATAATAAAGTTGGTTCAATATAGCTGCTAAATCTTTTTTTAAAAAGAAACTGAACATTAAAAAAATGTAAGAAAAATATACAAAAGTTGAAAACACTTGTTGCAACTATATGAGACTGAAAAAAAAATTAAGTCTTATAGTAATAAATGCCTTTGGTGCAATCCCAAAACATCTGGAGTATCACTTGAACACCAGTGGCATTGACAAAATCACTGTCAATTGCAAAAGGCAGCTTTACTTGGAAGAACTTACATCCTGCGACAATACCTTTAATACCATCAAACAACATCATCTGCTTCACCCAGGTCCGTGGGAAGGAGTCAAAAGGTAGATAAAGATGATGAATCTAATCTAAACATCCAGTTGACTGTGCAACAAACTATATTAACAATATAATAATAAAAACTCAGCTCAATCCATACATGTTACATGGTCTCTTCATTTTGTATTCTTGATCTTTGCTCCCCGACTTTCTTCTCTGTTTTCAGTAATCTGCAGCCATAAAAAGTTTTTCCACTCCTAGTATAAATCTCAAAGTTTGCTTTAATCTATGTTATGGCTTCTCTTTATGGTTTCTGTATATAAATTGTGATTCCCCCCCCCTCTTTTAAAATGGTAAAATAAAATGAAAAAAATAATTTGTGAACTATGGTATTGAGGACAACAGAAATATTTCTACTGGTCATAAAGCCAATTGGGCCATTATGTCCAGTTCTCTGCAGTCTCAATGAATGCTTTTGTTATCATAAAATGCCCAACACACCTCATAATCAATATTCAGGTCATCAGAATCTCCCTTAGTCCGGAAATGTTGCATGTACTTGTCCACTGTGAAATTCACTTGCTTATTGAATCGTTCAATGAGAACTGAGTGCCAGTGTTGGTCATCCAGGAGGCTGCCCAAGGAGACTGAGGTATGGCTGTTGCCAAAACGAAGCTTGGCATCTCCTGCAGAGACAGTAAGAAGTTATAGTTAAATGTACAGAATTTTGGTTTTAACACCAAACCCTTAAGATGAATGATGTTGTCTAATGAATGATGAATAGCAATAACAATAGCACTTATATACCGCTTCAAAATGCTTTACAGCCCTCTCTAAGTGGTTTACAAAATCAGCAAATTGCCCCCAACAATCTGGGTCCTCGGAAGGACGGAAGGCTGTGTCAATCTTGAATCCCATTAGTATCAAACTCCTGGCTGTGGGCAGAGTTTGCCTGCAATACTGCATTCTAACTACTCAGTCACCAGGGTTCATTCATGAATGATGAATGTCATCTCTGGGCTTCTTCCCTGCTATTTTTAGACAATTATTTTTTAGCCTAAGAAATCCTTCACATTTGATTTGTTTTTCCATTGGAGAACATCTTTCATATTCATTTAACTCATAACATTGTTAATGCAGAAGGATCTGCCTATGAATCCCAATATTCAACACATAAAATACACATTAATTCTGAATATACTTCTATACAAGAGACAATTTCCCCCATTTAATACTCCTATCCATAACTGGGTTTCTGCTCCAGATAAAATACACCTACAGTAAGAAGTATTCTGCCAGTTCTATCTTGAATCTGTCCACAATATAGCCTATGGCAAAAAAGCGGAAATCTAGTCCAGCAGATTGATTTCTATGTAGTGCTGAAATATTAAGGCATTCATATCTTATATTAGGAAAATTGTTATATTGCCTGATCTAAAGAGCAATTGAGTCTGTAATGCTTAAATGCACCATCTGGATTAATTGAAAACTTGAGCATATAAATATATCAGATGTATTATAACTGGGGGTAATGCAATCTAATTACCCCTACTTTTTTCAAATCATTACATCCAATGAGCTTTATTTTAATTTAAATGAGATTGTTATCTAGACAACTTCAAAGTGAACCATGGAAACAAAAATGATAATATTTGGGAAAACCAAACCAAATCTGAAGACAAAACACAGTTACATCACATCCATTTTTCACTTTTAATGCAATCGAAGAAGGATAAAATACACAGTTCACTAGGGTTGTGCAAAACATTTTGAGATTGAGACATTATGATCTGGAAACATCTTACCTTGAACTCAGAATGGAAACATTCCACATTGGAATGAACTGCTCTGGTTTATTGGAAATAGGCCATTCAGATTATCTGATAAAGTGAGAACATTCTCATTTTATCAGATAATCTGAATGATCTATTTCCAATAAACTTTAATTTCATTTCACTTCACTTCATTTCTATAATTATGAGACTTGTTTCAAAGATGAAGTGCTTTCCAGTTAAGGGTGAACAATTTCAAAATTGCATTATTTGGGGTGAGATTTTAATGGGACTTTTTTGGATCAAGAATGAATTTGTAATGGCATATTTTGGGTCCAAAACATTTCACCTTCAAAACATTGTGCTACTTTTCATCTATTCCAGTTTACCACAAAGTATATTTGTGATATTTCTTCTCTACCTTTCCTTTAAAACAATAATAAGGAACCCTATAATAAGAAACCCTACCATTAAATTTAAACAATTAAAATTACCACACTGAATAAGTAAATCATCGGCAAACAAACATAAATCACAAAAGGCTGTTGATGCTAGGCAAATTCAATCTGCCATTGCTGGGGTTGGGATCAGAGGCAATTCAGGAATTCATGGCTACCATGATTCTCATGGGCCTGTCCCAGTCCTAATGGGCCCAATGCAAACATAGGGCAACACATTAGATCTGATGTTCACATTGAAACAGATGAGATGTAATTTGTTGTGGAGGACATTTCCATCAGCACTTTGTCATGGAGTTGTCCTTCAGGGAGGAGGAATCAAATAGGATTGTCTACCACAGTATCTGATGACATAGAGCAGGGATGTCAAACTCGCAATGTCACGTGACGTGTCGCGACGTAGCGTGACTTTTTTGCCATTGCAGGCGATGGGGTGGGCGCAGGTTTTGCTATGATGCATCTGGCCTGTGGGCCAGCAGTTTGACACTCTGATATAGAGGGAAGCAAAGATAACTTTGGAGAGGCTGTAAATATAGCAACTAGAAAAGTACCAAGATAGATACTTAAAATAATACTATCTTGATTCTGTAGGGTATAAGAAAGGACAGGGAAATTCTGTCAGGCTTCAAAGTTTGTCAACAGTAAAGTCCCAATAGTCCTTCTTGGTCTGCTTTGAAGGTCTGACAGAAGACTTTCAAAGGAGCCAGTTTGGTCTAGTGCTTAACGCTCCAGGGTTGAAAGAAGGAGACTATGAGTTCTAGTCCTTCCTTAGCAATGAAAGCTAGATGGGTGGCCTTGGGCCAGTCACTCTCTCAGCCCAACTTACCTCATAAGGTTGTTATTTAGGGGAAAATAGGAGGAGGAAGGTGTGTTGGATACATGTGCTGCCTTGAGTTATTTGCAAAAAATAATAAAGGTGGGATACAAACAAACAAACAAGCAAGCAAGAAAGCATGTGGAGAGTTTCCCAGCGATTTCTAGTGCAGCGTAATGGTATGTGGGAATGATCTTGGGACATGGGAGGAAGAGCCATAGCCTAGACAATGGTCTAATAAATGAAATTTGAGTCCAAAAGAAGAGCATCTCAGAAGGCACCATCCCTAGTTTTCAGGAAACTGAAGGAAAAGAGGAATCCTTTCAGACCTGCAAGATCCTGTTAATGCAACCTTAAAGAAAGAGCTAGTAATCTACTGTAGCTATGCTTCTTGTCTGGACTACCTTGAAAGGCTAACTAGCAGTTTTATCAGGTACCTAGTTAACCTCTGGAATATTGAGGATTGACACAATTGGTGCTGAGTGGTTTCTTCCTGTTTGTCAGTCCTCCATAATATATTGAAAATTTCTGGGGATTGAATTTGACGGTGTGGGGTAAACAAAAAAGCAAATATGACTAGCACCATGGTAGTAAGGATAGCAAGGCACCAACATATCTCTGCCCTTATTGCGTCCACAGGTTCCCACCCAGAGTGACATTTTAGAATAATCCAGCCCCCATTAGTTAAGGCTGGACTTAAAGGAAACGTAGCAAGAATTTAGAGTTCATCCAGATGCCGTTCAAGTTTTTGTCTAGATGTGGTTGACCTTCCATTGGGGCAATTTTGGAGTCACAGACCTTGCTAGAAGAGTAAATGTCTGTGACTCCAAAATTACCCCAATGGAGGGCATGAGCAGGAAGGGCTTTGCCCAGCTTTATTTTGTTTATGGTGATGGTTTGTTGTATCTTTGCAGAATTTGGGTTTTTTACAAATCATTTAGAATCAGTCCAGCTAAGGTAGCATGGAAGTTATTGTAAATAAACACCGAACATCTAAGAATATATGAAAAATACAGAAAAAAATGATTTCAGATTGTATTTGTCTATTTAGTAAATCTAAATCCTTATGTTCAATGATAGAGGACAGCTGTCACACATAATACCTTCTAAATGTGTTGAATGTAATTCACAACACTTTCACTCAATATAGTGAGGATTTCCATGACATGCCTATTTATATCTACATTTAAACTCAAAGCAGATGTTGCCTATAGGAGGAAGAGAGCAAGGAGCACAAAAGGCCAAGTTTAAACCATGTAATGCTAAGCTACGGTTTAATATACATCTCCTCTTGCCCTAGTGTGTGAAAAAGCAAAGCAAACAAAGAAAGCACAATAATGTAATATTTGCTTCATAGAACAGAAAGGTTTTTTTTTTTTATCTGCTCCACCACAAAATCTCAACAAATGTATGCGCACCAACTTTAAGATATATGGACTTCAAATCTCAGAACGCTGCCTGGGGAATTCTGAAAGTTTAAGTCTACACATCTTAATGTTACTAAGGTTGAGAAATGCTCTTCTAGGGATGAAGGGTGCTGCAACAAGCATTGGCTTAAGCCAGAGTTGAAAAAGATTGAAAATTCATATTCTTTCTCTGACACTTCCTTTTTTTCCTTGCAGGTACACTTTGTTTTCTCTCACACTATTTCTGACACTCTTTTCTCTCTTTTTGAAGCAATGGGCTGTCAAGAAGCATATCTACCGGTATTATCAAAAACCTGAATAAATAACTAACAAAGAGCTTTTCAGATTAAGTGTAGGGTCATAGGAAAATAGGTTGATAGGCATATTTGCCCACCCCAGCCTAGAATATAAGAGCTTCTCAAACTCAATTGCTGAAGATAATTGCAGACAACTAATACTTATTTATTGAAAGGATCCAAGCATGATCTTATATCTCTCATTATCATCTCATTGTACCTCTCTAGGAAGACCTACATTAAGAATAATGGCTTAAAAAGACTCTTCAACTAGACCACTTCGAGCACAACATTAGGCAATGCGATTTTAGCAGCAGCCATCTTTACTAAGTGGCACAATCATTGTGGCTTTTCTTGTATTGAATACAATGGCTTAATTCCCAGTGAAAGAAAGATTGTACTCCAAAATCTCATTTCCTTGAGCCTTATCTCTCAGCCAATACAGACTGTACCACACTGAGAGACGAACAGGATGCAACTTTGTCAAGATTCATTCTCTGACAAATTCAGTAGTATCACTGATTAACAGGCCTGCTTTTATACATTATCTGAAATTTACTGTAATTCTGAGGCCAGTTATGTTTTTGTGTGATTGTCAAATGATATGCTCACACTGAAAAAAGTTACAATAAGAAGAAAAATATTTGTTTGCTTGTTAGATGTGTTCAGTCAGCATTATGGCAACAACCTTGGAAAATAGATTGGGGGGGGGGAAAGAGAGAGAGAGAGAGAGAGAGAGAGAGAGAGAGAGAGAGAGAGAGAGAGAGAGAGAGAGAGAGAGAATGACTGATCCCTATGAGTTCATATATATCAGATAAACTTAAAGATTGGCTGAGGAAAAAAACTGGTCAATGTATTTATATAACAACAAGGGAAAACTGAAAAACTGTCACTTGCATTATAAACAAATATAATAAATTGGAGAGGGAGAAATGATATA